CCACATTTCATCCTTTTATCTTCGGTGGTCAGTACCCGGTGCAGGGTGTCAAGGATCAGATGAAGGCTGGAAAGAATCTGCCGGATCTCAAGGTGCTTGAGACAATGTATGTCACTCGGCGGCCAAAATTCCGGGCAAATCGCAACAGCATCAGCCCCACGGACATGCTGCCGAACTACAACCGGCCAAGATTCGACTTTAGAGCCTGTGATCCAGCGAAAGAGGGCTATGGCAAGACGCAATGGCTTGTGGTGGAGGGGATTCAAATGCCTGAACGGCACTGCCCTACTTGTGAACTCCACTTCACCTTTGGCTCAATGTGTTGTGGCAAGTGCGGTACCTTCCTGAATACCGCGTCGGACCTTTGCAAGGCCGCCCAGGTCATTCGAATGGAAGAAATCGCCTCTGAAATGGGCGTTGAACTCTCACTCGATATGGTCCAGGAAGATCGGCTACAGGGAACCGGCAGACGCATGGCCATGATCCACGAGCTGCACGGTCAGGTATCAACATCCTGAAGTCAAATGCTCGAAGCCATGTGAACAAAGCAGACAAGATGGGCATGACCATCTCGAAGAGGCAGTTGACAGATCCTCTGTATGCCTTCAACTGCGCGGCACAAGATCTGTCACCGCTCTGCATCAGCTTCTTGGAGAAATTGGCAAACGCGGTCATTCCAGACCCACCAAGAACGCATCAGATGATCACGCAGGGTGTCGGCCATCGCTATGCTGGGAAGTTGATTTACATCAACGATCCTGAGAAGGTGGGAGAGGCGGACATGAGCGAGGATTTCCTGGTGTATTGGAAAAACTGGCTCTACCGCCCCGAGGTCTTTGCAGCAAGCTATGCCCAGAACGCAAAGCGCCCGCCAATATTGGGATTCCACTCTGAGTGGAAGACTGATGAAAAGGATCCAGATGAGCTTCTCCAGCTTCTGCTCGACTTCATCGCTGAGGATATTGCCTTCATTCCGAATGTTGACTTGCAGCTTGGCAAGGAGACTAGGACCATGGTAGTCCCTCGAGCGAAAGCAGACTCCGCATCAGCCAAAGCCCTAGCAAGGGCTGCGCAGGATCAGGCACGTGCTCATGATGATTGGCGCCAATCCCAATGGTCATCCGCTTCCTCATCATGGAATCGCAGCGGAGACTGGAACCAAGGATGGTGACTGGTGGAGCTCACGCAACTGGTAGGAACATTCGCACGACGGGAGTCGTTGCCTTTGGATTCAAAACCAAAAACCCAAACAAAAAGGAAACATCCAACAGGCAGCATGGCTCTCAACTGTGTGGCTGTTCTTCCTCCATCGCACCGCGGGAGCGGTTGCCCTTGATGATCGCTTCTGTGTTGCACCGGGGGACCGGATGCCGAACTTCGCTTTTGCGCCAGCAAGATTTAATTCGAATGATGAAGGTCGAAGAACCTGTCACATTGCAAGTCCGAGAGACGCACATACTTTTGTAGTGCTGATTCGCCACGCGGGAGCGTGTGCCGACCGGTGATACTCCTGCTTTCTGAAAGGCCAATCGTGCACTTACCGCCTGATGCGTCAAAAGCTTGTGCTGTTTCTTCTTGAGCTGACTCCGGCATGTGTATAGCATTGCAGTACGAGTGAACACTAGCATGAACATATCAGTGATTTCTCTGCTCTTGAGGTCAACTATCCTCTCCATCTCAAAGGCAGGAGTCGGTTTCGTCCGAATCGCACGTACCGGGGGACCGGTTGCCATCGTTTCACTCGTGCTACTTTGGCTCAAGGCAAAACAGGTGCGATTAGTGGTGTTCGTCGGCTAGTCACTTGTAACTACACCAATCTTCTTCCCTCCTTCATGATCGATCAGGTAGTCCCAGGAGTCCTTGGCCGCAGTTCGTCGCGGCGGGGTGGAGATGACCTTCAGCACCGCCTCATTGATGAAGCCCTTCTGAAAGCCTGGGGTTCTCAAACAGTCCCACATCTCCTCCTCATGGCATCACTTTCCCAGCACGATGCCCTTCTCAACCGTCGAGACCAGCCTCAGCGGTTCCACCCTCGGCAGCCTTCCCTGAGAATGACCTCCTGGCTGAACGTCTCCTTCTTGAGGTTGTGCCCCATCTCCTCCACTTCCTCGAGCTCCGGAGTCGGTGTTCCGTGACGTTCCCCGACCGTCACCTGGATCCTGTGCGATGAAGTGCACCCCCTCAATCATCACCCATGTGCCTCCGTGATCTCGCCGAGGTCCTCGCCTTACCATGTAACGGTCCCAAGCACTCATAGGCAAACCCAGGTTCGCCCGACGCCTCTCTTCTGCCTCAGCGTCATATGCTCCTCGACACCATAGTTCAGAATCGTGTACTCGAAGGTCAGCAGGGGCTCTTTGAAGATCCTGAGATAGTCCGTCTCCTCCCACGGCCTCCGTCTGGGTGCCCCTGTTCTCGGCAGCTTCACGTCGTCCACCTCCAACTCTCAGCGCCCGATGGAAATCCGGTCGACTGGATTCCTGGTTCCCAGTTCTTGGCGTTGATAGAGGGGATCATCAGGCTCAGCCCACGGGTAGGCCTCTTCATGCCCGGAATAGCCGAAGCCCCTCGAGCCGCGAACGGTTTCCGTCAGGTTCTCGACGTTGTTGACCCCCACTTCCAGGATCTTCTCGACCACCAGTTGTGCCACTCGGTCACCCTTGTAGATGAAGAGGTCCTCGTCGTTCCAGTTCCGGAGGAGCACTTTCACTTCTCGGAAGTCTCGGTCATTAATGACCCCAGTGCCAGTCTCGAGGGGAGCTCAATTGCAATGCCCGTCTTCACCAAAACACTGTCTCCAGTGGGAACCATGGTCTCGATGACTGAATACAAGTCCAGTCTAGCCGCCTGCTCTGACCCTCGGGTCGGTAGTCGTGCTTCTGGATGAAGGAGTTTCACCTTAAGCTCCTCCTTTGGTGCCATCCATCGTTTGACTCCAGCTGTGCCCACACGAAACAGGATGTCCCCGATGATCGCAATGGCCGCTGTGAGAAGGACGAAGATCCACCATTCACTGCTTCCACCATCCGACTGACTGTCGGTCGGTGGCCTCGGCATAGGTGATCATGCTTGTAGCCGCAATCAGCAGTCCCAGCCCTTTCGCGAACTTGGAGTCAGGACTCTTTCTTCCAATCTCCAATCTCTTGACCTCCACCTTCTCCGTCACCTGGATCTTCTCCAAGCCCAGGGTCTCCTTGAAGGTCTTGAGTGGCTGGCCAGTCAACTGTTTCGTCGTTCCATCCGCCACCAACTCTGTGCCGGCCACATGTCTCAGAGAGACCTCTCCTGACCTTAGGGCCTCCGTCAATCCAGCGGCTCAAATCCGTAGGTGGCGTGTCCTCCATGACGATGTCGTGCCTGACGCAATCGCTATGGCCGCTGTGCAGTCCGAGTGCATCCTCAGCTTCACCTTTCTCTCAAGCACGGCTTCGACAAGGGATCCTGTCGATCGGACTGTCACCAGACTCTCCAGCAAGGACATCAGCTCCGCCTCCGCCGTAGAAAGGGTGATGAATGCCTGACGAGTGGTATGCCAAGCGATAGGGGTTCCGCCATAGCACACGACGATCCCCGTCAGGCTCTTGAGGCCAGATGAGGCGTACGAAGCGTCTGAGTAGACTTCCACGCTGCCCAGCATCTCCTCGGCTGCCTCCTCCCCTTCGTCACCTCCTCTGATGAGCACAGGGCCTTGGATGTCCTGCAGTTCCGAGAGCTTGAGGATGTTCGTGCCCAGCCTCGTAGGCTTCCTTCTCTGATGCCCCATCGGACCCTGGTCGAAGCTGACCTCAATCATGCTTGAGGCCTTCCACTCGGGCCAGCACCAGTAGGAAGCATAGCGCTGCAGGCTCTTCTCCTCCTCCCTGATGTACTCTTCTGGATCCTCCGGCTGCTCCAGTGCCGACAGTGTCACCCTGGACCTTCTCGCCGTCGCCGCACGATGGTACAGGTAGAGCTGCCGGAGATAGAGGATAGTGTCGTCCTCAACCTGCTTTCGAAGATACCTGTCCAACTGCGGCAAGCCAAACCGATGTGGTCCTTCCCTCTGCCTCAGTGGTGGCGGTCCAGGCTGTCGATACCGAAGACGGCTCATCGTCCGGCATGGTGGACCTCCCAACAGAGTGCACAGCGAGCCACTGTCAGCGATGTCCAACAGGTAGGCGAAGACGTCGTCCCTCAGGAGGTTCATACCCAGATGGATCACAGCATCTCCTGGGTCGTCACGGCCAGGATCCCAGCCTCTGGAGGAGCGTCCTCCAGGGCCAAAGTGCCAGCTTCCTCCTTGGCACTTTCCATGGAGGACCCCCCTTCGGGGGATTCGATGCCAGCCGCGCCGCCAGCAGCCGCCGCGCTCGCCGCGCTCGCCGCTCGCCGCGACATGGCGGCCAGCAACCTGGTCCTCCACACGAGGAACCCAGGGTGGTCTTCACCGACCGAAAAAACTTGGGCTCATAACCCGCGTGACCGTAGGCGGTCCTTTTCTGCTCCTAAAGAAAGGCTTCGGTATGCGAGTTTCAAACTTGGTACACTTCCGATTTGTGCACCACTTCTAAACACCTTGGTACACTTCTCGTGCACTCCAACCCTCAAAAGCTTGGTACACTTCTAGTTTTGTGCACCGGCACTTTCATTCAGGCTTGGCTCATGAGGCTTCGCATTTTCCAGATTTCGATAGGTTGACTGAAGGTGAGGAATCCAGTTGCTGACAGCCGGAGTCAATGTGGGGGCCGGAAAATTCACGAAATAGCTTTCAAGATCTCGTCCGCTCACTCGCCTGCCACAAATCCAAATGACGTCAAGATCAATCCTTTTGAGCATAGTCGCATGTTCCTGGTCTCCACTCTTCCGCCAGTCTCCGGATTGGTTGTTAAGCTTTGACTTGAAACAAAGAGTAATGCTTATGCCGCACGCTCCAAACCTGCAAGCAGCGAGAAAATAGCTGCTGTTTTCGCTTCAAATGTTTTTTCCTATGCAGCAGATAGTTGTTCCAATTCCTCCTGCAGGCAACGCTTCCAGCGGAAAAGCTCCAAGAAGAGATCCTTCTGGTCGATGAAGTAGACGTTCTGTGCGGGAGCCACTTTTATGGTCAAACGCACAATCAAGTGGCACTTCTAGAATCGCCAGAGGTCGAGGACCTTCTCCGAGAAATTTGGAAGAACCGGGACGAGGCAATGAATACAGCAGCATTGGTTCAAAAAGTGCTTGAATCAGAGCAATTTGAGGCCGTGGCCAAGAAGTTTCCGGATTTTGCAGACATTGTGAAGTCTGAGGCCGTGAAGATGTGTGTGGACCTGAAGAACCACCTGAAGGATCACTTCTTGAAATCTTGCCCTGATTACATCTTTGATGGTGGCAAAGTTGGCTACAAGGTCCTTGATGGTGTTGTCTGGGACGTTGTGAAGGGGTACAGGACAGCGTTTGCATACCTGCATGAAGAGACCAAAGGGCGTATGCTAGACAAGGCCACGCTGCGAAAGGCCCTGTCACTGCAAATACCTTGTGGTAGATTCTCATATGCAAAGTTGGGCTCGCCCAAGGTATTGGGTGTGTCCGGGACCGTCACAGCTTTGAGCAAGCATCAATGGGAGGTCATGCGCCGATTCGGCATCACAAGCTACACAGTCGTCCCATCCGTTTACGGCCGGAACCATTTTGCCTTCTTGAATCAAGGCTCTGCCATCACCATTTCTACAGATGAGGACCATGCCTTCGACATTTTCAGTCAGGCCACTGGCAAGTTGGGGGTAACTTTTGATTTCACTAGTACTCTCTAAGTGACAGTGAGCTCTTGTGGCTAGCTCCAGTTCAGTGTGCGCTTGAATGCCAAAGACTGTTCGCTTGTTTTACTGGACAGACATGTTTTCTTTCTGTCCAACATGTCAGGTATCCAAGAAGGTGGATGAAGATCGAGCTGTCATTGTGTTCTTCCGCGATGTGCCGCAAGTCAAGGAATTCATGGAGTCATCTTACTACAGCAACATGTCCAACAAGATCCTTGGCTGCATTGTTTTTGATCTGCAATCTTTTGGAGTTTACAGCATGTGTGGCATTCCATTTGAGGAATGTGCTGCTTCCAAATCTTCCTGACTCAGACAAAGACTGGATGGCGAAGAAGGCCGCAACGGCTGCTCAAGTCACGCTCGCCGACGCCCTATTGCTGTTGTGCAACTGGCATCTTGCATGAGTGGTCACGCATACCTTGAACCTAAAGCCATAAAAGTCTGATTTGCAACCTAGATATGTGGGCATGTGTGGGCCGTATATGTGCCAGTACTTGTGCAATGAGGCACCGCGAATCTTTGGAAGGGGAGTTGACTTCTACAGTGTCTTGGACGCATGCTTGCTGCACGCCCGCTTCTGGTGTGCATTTGCTCATTTGGACAGCTGGCTCGTGAGACTGAACTGACCAATTTTGTGCCACAGGTTTCGACAAAAAACTTGAGAAGGCCATGGGTGGAGAAGGGCTTTCAATGCTTGAAAAGATGGGGTCATTTTCCAACAGATTCAATCACGCACTCACAAGCACTTGCAATGCTGATTTGTGGTTGGATATGATTCATTGCTTCTGCAGCACCTGCAAACACTTTTGTGTCTGGTTCTGATGCTGTGCAATCCATCTAGGGTCTAGAGAAAGATTCTCTTTGCATGTTCAGCCATTCTGTTTGGCAATGCTTGGGAGGCCGGTGGAGTCCATGTCATCCAGACCTTCTTTTCCGAGGACAAGAGTGAAGAGGTTCAGATCCAGGGGCGCACTGCTCGCCAAGGGAAGAGCGGCACCTACTCGCTTATCCTGGCAGATTCGGAGGTTAAGGAGCTTGGATTGGATCCTCTTCACCTGCGAAACATGCCAGCTGAACGCTGCTATAATGCACTTTGCTCAGCAAGGGAGAAGAAGCAAGCTTGCCGCAGCAAGGACATGGAAAAGACGTTGGAGGAAGCTAATGCCTTGGATTGTGAATCTCGTTCGTATTTCAACGCTCTTCTTGAAGCAAATTGCCCACTTGCGAGAGACAGACTCAGAAAGTTGTATGAGCAGCTGGGTGGTGGCAGCAACACCAATGCCTACCACTTCATATGCTGCTACGACGAGTCCGGCTCGATGCGTGGGTCACCGTGGGAGGAGCTGAAGAAAGCCCATGGCGCCTTCATGCAGAAGTTGCAAAGGGTGCTTTCAGCGAAAGTGTCGATCATCCAGTTTGCACAGGATGCACACACTGTGTTGCAGCTTGGTGATGTCAAGCAAGCCATGTGCCTTGAGTTGACGAGGGACACAGGCGAGAGAACGCACAAAACATGGTTTGAGCCAGCACTGGCAACAGCCCTCCGCTTGATGCGGATAGGTGCACAGCAGGACCAAAGGCTCACACCTGTCTTGGTCTTCATGACTGATGGTAGCAATGGTGATGGCGATTGCATCCAGACCATGAGGGACATGAGGCAGGAGTTTCCATCGTTGGACTTCCATGCAATCATCTTTCGGAAAGAAGACTCCACCGTGCTTCGGAAGATGGTTGGGGCTACGGGAGATGGACATTTTCATGTCTCAGTAGACGGAGTGAAGCTTGTTGAGACCTTCTCCCACATCGCCAGCAGCCTGGAATACACTGGCCGAGGGTGAGATTTCTGAAAAAGTGCTGATTGGATTGTGCAACACAGAAGACACAATTCCTACGGCTGACTTTTAAACACTGGAGGCTTTGCCCCAGCACTTCAGTCCAGATGGTTAAAACGTGTTTACATGCCATTGAGTGGTGAGCAATGAGTTGTGTTCTTGTATGAATGAATATATAGATCCAAAGAATGGTCTGGACAACAGGTTATTGTACAGTCTCATTTAGTCAAGATCAAGTTGAAGCTCATGGACGAGCCATGGGAAAGGTCTTGTTGTTGCAAGTTCCGTAGTTACTATTGCAACGGTGTGCACATTCGTCCGTTCTCCCTGTTCACCGACCGTTTTCTGCTGTATTTCTGTTTAGCTTGGTTTTCATGCAATCTGCTCATTTGGTGAAAGGACTTGAAAGGGAGGCCTTGAAAAGGGAATGTGCAGCGGAATTGAGATTAAGTCAGCCCAGAAGCGAGCTGCCTACTATGTGGAAAAGGAGTCTATTTGGTGAAGAAGATGCACTCCTTGAACAAGACGCGGATGTCTTAGATGCAAAGCAAGCTGAAACTTTTCATGTATGCTTTCTGCCAATTTGGCTGGTGTCGTGTAGAGATGGGACAGATGTGAAGTTTTCAACTAGAATTCTACAAAAACTACAAGAACATATACATCTACCATGTGTTCACACAGTGCGGTAATGGATCCCTTGATCAGCACACAAAAAAATCAGGAATTTACATTTCACTCTGGGCCTTGGTCTCGTGTTCTCTAATATGAATGAGATGGTAGCTCGCGATTGTTTGCAGCAACAAGTGGCAATTGGCAAACTTCAGGATTTCGATGCCTTGTGTGCTGAAAGAATACCAAATGACTGAGACCAACATGGTTTTTCTCTAATGCCGAATGTCCCAAATACCCAGGCCGATCGGGTTGATCGATTTCTTGAGTGATGAAGGGGCCCTCCAGGGGCGTGAAGCAGAGTCCACTCGCCCGTATGTAGTTCAGAGGGGTCTTGTGAGAACTCGGTGAGAACTAGTTTTTTTGCTTATTGCATCTTTTTCCTTTTATTTCTTTTGTACCTAGCATGCCACGCAAGAGTCTGCTCTATTTCCTCGTGTGCAGGTTGATTTGAGCATGTCTGTTGGTGAGGACCAGGAGTTCGTTTAATCCTTTTCGGAGACGTTTTTGTTTTTGCAGCTCGAACATCCTGCCCTAGACAGGATTGCAGGAGCCTGACTTTGTTGGTTTCAGGACCAGATCTTGAAGTCTAGTCCGCCACCTTCAAGTCAAGGCGCCGGGCACAGCATATTGGTGTACAGTTATATGAAGTAGAGCAGGCAAAAACACAATACACCAGGAACTGGAAACACAGGCGAAACGCAGACCGCTCGATCAGGCTATTTCTTCCCGCGTTAATTTAGACAGAAACACACAACTTCTTCCGTCCAAGATTAGAATATGTTTATTCTGTTTGTTACCGTTTGTTTCAGGAACATCTTCCAAGGCAGCTCTGATTGCATCCCCGGCATGTTTTAGATGAACCAGACAGGTTGGATCCATCTCTTCAGCTATGGATGACAGAATGACCCTTGGCCTAAATGTATACTTTGTCTCAGCCTTCGCATTGCAGGCCACTTGCGTGCTTGTGGATGCAATGGCTCCACTGTTGCAGGACAGCATCCTCTTGTGGAAAAGACTTTGTGAACAGATGCAAAATATGTAAGTAATGTCCAACTGCTGGGCACTTGATGATCAACCCACGACCATTTGCGAGATCAGGAGCAGGCTTCAAAGAGCTTGGTCCTCGCGAACTGACTGGATGTCACATGATGTCACCAAAATTTCATTCGAGTAGGTTGGAGGCCATCGCTATTAGAAACAAGGAAAACGAAAAGGAAGAAAGGTCTAATATGACGTAAACTGACTGGATGTCACGTGATGTCACCGACATGTCAAATCCCAAGGTTCCGACATTCGGATGCCGTGAAATCGGACTCACAGGCTTCCCGGGATCCTTGATGGTGCTCGTGTCACCCTTAGGTTTGAAGCTCCATCAAAAGCATGGCTTCTGAGCGGCCAAACGCTGTGATCAGTCTATGGATGTTTCTCTGAGGGAGAGACCTTGACATACTTCTTTGGTGGGCTGTCCCTGGCAGTGATGTGGGAAGGCTGGTGTCATTGAAGCAGCACCAACCGCTGTTTGTCTTCTAAAGGACACAAGACAATAGGTTGTGTGACCCACATATGAGCCCGATTGTTGGGGGTGCCATCACCGGACCCTGTGACAGCAAGGCTCGCCTGTCGGTGTTCCACAGCGCTTAAATGGTGTTGCAGTCTTAAGAGCCCAGAGGTAGATCGTAGAGACTATCCTTGACCATTGTTGCTCGTCAGTCTGGGCAACACAAGGGGCTGTCAAGCGGGACCACATACTCACAAAAGGATGCCCACTCGACGCAATGCGGTCGCCTGAGTTCTTCTCCCACACGACAGCCTTGAGATCGCCCTTCGCCAGGCTTGCATGGCATGCGTCGATGCTTTCAGCCTTTGAGGTCCGGTGATTACGAATTCTGCTGATCTACTCGGTAGATGACTATGGTCTGTCCTCTTACTGTCTTGGACATTACTCTCACTTACCAAATAGCTGAGACATCAACTACACATGGCTTGAGCCCAGATTTCTACGAACGGAAGGACATGAAACGAGGTACTTGGCCTTTATGCCTGCATCATTGGCCTACAGCTGGGCGGGCTTCATGACCTACCCGGCTATCAAAGGCGTACGGTCCGGTTTTTTTTGGAGGTAGATCGGAAAAGGAACGGATTGGTGACAAATTGATTGCTCTTGAAACGCTCCAATACTGGACTGTTGTGATGAACATGCTGGCTTTACCCTGTCTTGGCCGGGCAAACGAAACTAGATTTCTAAGCAGATGAGAAGAGGAACCAAAACGTCAGTTTGATGGCAATATAAGACTGATGGACTGATGGTGTTCTTGACCTCTCCCTTGCCACCAGGCTTCGGTGCCAGTCAGTTCTACCTCCTGGCACAGCTTAGAGTCGCCATCATTGCAGTACCCTGGCCCAGTCCATCCATCACAGGCAAATTTTCTCCATGATACCGATCCTTCTGATACCCATAAGTCTCAACCTGAACTTTCGTAGAGCCATTGTGTTTTGGTGCATTTTGAGATAGATATGGTTGTCAAGTCGGGCCACCTTTCGCCATGTGACCTATCCGACGAGTAAAGCTCGGAGTAAAGCTGCTCCACAGAGGTCTTTATGCGCTGGGCGAGCCGTGTTCGTCAACCAGCCACAGCCTGCTGCTGAGTGTAACAGTAGGGGGAGGCCATCGCTATTAGGTTGGAGGCCATCGCTATAGTAGGTTGGAGGCCATTGCTAGCATTGGGGCAGGATAGTTGTGGCGTCCGCTGTCACCACCATTTTCTGGCTTTGGCACAGGTTTGGATATCGTTGACCCAGCTGGTCTTGGGTATGGCCTGTGCCCTGGTCGCCGCGTTTCCACCCGCCAAGTGTGTTGAACAAGTGTTCTTCTCGCAGGTTGTCCTGGTTTGGTACAAGGCATGCTTTCTTTGTGTCTCATTTATTCATTTTCTGCAGAAAGCAACACGCGATGGCTACAAAGCTAGACGTCTTTCCTTAGGCTTAGAAACTATTAGTTTCTCATTCTTGGCCCTTTTGGGACTCACCAGAGCTGTTCTGATTGACTCCTGGCTCTGACCAGGCTGGCGCTGTGGCGGGAGAAGTCGGCTGCCACTTTTTGCCGGCTGCAGTGGGAACCTTGGTGACCTTCAGGGAATGGACTAAGAGAGTCCTTCTTTTTGAGACACTCATTCATGGAGCTTGGAGAACTTTCACACATTGGAATTTGCACATGACAATTGTAGATTTGAATCTTTTCGTCAGAGCCTTTCTATGTACATTGTGCTGCAGGCTCTGCAAGCAGTACCTACAAGTTGGCAACCAAGTTCGTCAAACCGCAGGGGATCAGCACAATCGACCACGGGTCCTGCTTTTCCATTGACCTCACACTGTTTGAGGTGAAAGCGAAAGCAGTGAGGCCAGGGGATGGTCAAATCTGTTGAATGGTATTGCTGAGAGGAATTGGATGAGAAGAATGTGGATGATTGACGATTAGGAAGTGTAATCGCATGACAGCTTGGCAGACCTCATCGCATGACAGCTGTCTTCGAATTCATTCTGGCGCCCAGGATCAGGTGAGCTTCATGCTCAGTGCTTGGCGGCCCGAAGACGTGACTCTGGATGGGATGACATGACTTTCACTCCTTGGCTTTCCGGAGTCAAGACGGCATTGAACGGATTCTGGTTTTTTGGAACTGAAGGCTTTGACATCACGTGACAAGCCTGTGGCGTTGCTTGAAAGATGGTCCTTGGTCAAGAGACGGCTCCACAAGCCACAAGCCATAGTGGCATGCTGTTCTTTACTGCAAGTGAAGGCTTTTTTTTTCCCCAGAACCATCCTGGATTGGCGTTTTCCGAACACCAGCCGGGCTACACCCGGCTGCGCCCGGCTGCGCGCGTGCCCAGTTTGCCGCCATGGTGGGTGTCATCGTCACTTCGGCCTTCGGGACGTTGTACCTGGAGCGGCAGCTCAAGGCCAGCTCCAAGGACGGTCTCAGCTCCGCTCGGCTCAGCTCAGCTCGGCTCGGCCTCCGATGTCCTGGGGTCGGTCAGATGTGCAGGATCCGCTCTTCGTGCAGTTGCATCAGCTCAATGCCGTCGGCTTGACAGGTTCGTTTTGTGTTTCTGTGAGGAACCAGAATTGACTTGCCAGCGAAGATGAAGAGTTCAATGCTTTGGGGCACATCGAGATGACACCTGGGTGTAGCAAGCTTCGCTATTAGGTTGGAGGCCATCGCTAGTAGTAACGAGGGCATCGCTACTAGTAACGAGTAACAAGTGCATTACTACTAGGAACAAGGACGCTACTAGTAACAAGGGCATCGCTGTTAGGTTGGAGGCCAGCGAGATGACACCCGGGTGTAGTGTAGCGAGCTTCGCCATATTTCCGAAATAGAGAGAAGGGGCTTCATTGAGTCACGGGTATGCAGAGAGGAGTTCTGCATGGCACAAGGAATGTTGCATTGATCCCCACCTGAACAGAATGGACTGCCAGGGGTCAACGGGGTCAACCTATGGGTTTTCTTCGGCCAGACTTCTGACCTGCAGCCATGTGCATTGCCAACACCCTTCAAGTGTGCAAACGACCGATGCGTAGCACTGGTTACAAACTCCAAAAGAGCACGAGAATGTGTCAGGACTCACGTCGTGACTAGGAATTGGCTATGATGGGGGCTGGGGCCGACTGACCTTGCCCCGCCTTCCCATTGCGTTTCGAAGGACGTCTGAGGTCTGGAGCGCATATAGCCTTAGATTCAACCTCCATCCAGGATGTCAAGATTCACCAATCAAAGCCAATCGATATATTGCTCGTGAGGCATGAAATAAATACTGACATCTCCCGATGGTGTTCTTCTGCGGAGGTGCCCTGCTTGTGGCCATGCGGTCTTCTCAGAAGGAGCAACTCAAGTTCTCTTACGATCAATGACAGTATATGTCTGAGGCATGTTCAAACGTGCAGTGTGCACTTCAACCAAACGTTGTAGATATGAATAGACCCTTCCAAGTAAGGCAAACAACGCTGGCAAAAACTTGCATCCTTTTGTTTAGCAGAACACATGGCCGAATCGCATCATATCCAAAGATATATCTTTGCTGCTAGGTTGGAGGCCATTGCTATTGGGTTGGAGGCCATCGCTTCTAGGTTGGAGGCCATCTCTATTAGGTTGGAGGCAATCGCTTCTAAGCTGGAGGTCATTGCTTTTAGGTTGGAGGCCATCACTTCTAGGGTTGGAGGCCCTTGCCATTAGGTTCGAGGCCATCACTTCTAGTTCAGAGGCCAATTGCTATTAGGTTGGAGGCCATCACCTCTGGGTTGGAGGCCATTTGAATTAGTAGGTGGAGGCCATCGCTTCTAGGTTGGAGGCCATCGCTCTTAGGTTGGAGGCCATTGCTATTAGGTTGGAGGCCATCGCTTCTAGGTTGGAGGCCAGCACTTCTAGGTTGGAGGCCGTAGCTCTTAGGTTGGAGGCCATCACTTCTAGGTTGGAGGCCATTGCTATCAGGTTGGAGGCTATCACTTCTAGGTTGGAGGCCATTCCATATTAGGTTGGAGGCCATCCCTTCTAGTTCCGAGGCCAATTGATTAGGTTGGAGGCCATCACTTCCAGGTTGGAGGCCATTGCTATTTGGTTGGAGGCCATCACTTCTAGATTGGAGGCCACTGCCATTAGGTTGGAGGCCATCGCTTCTAGTTCGGAGGCCAATTGCTATTAGGTTGGAGGCCATCACTTTTAGTTCGGAGCTATTAGGTTGGAGGCCATCACTACTAGGTTGGAGGCCATTGCCATGAGGTTGGAGGCCATCACTTCTAGGTTGGAGGCCAATTTCTATTAGGTTGGAGGCCATCACTTCTAGTTCGGAGGCCAATTGCCAAGGTTGGAGGGCATTGCTATTAGGTTGGAGGCCATCACCTCTAGTTCGGAGGCAATTGCTACTAGGTTGGAGGCCATCGCTTCTAGTTCGGAGGCCAATTGCTACTAGGTTGGAGGCCATCACTTCCAGGTTGGAGGCCTTTGCTGGTAGGTTGGAGGCCATCACTTCTAGTTCGGAGGCCAATTGCTATTAGGTTGGAGGATCACTTCTAGTTCGGAGGCCAATAGCAACACTTCTATGTTGGAGGCCAATTGCGATTAGGTTGGAGGCCATCACTTCTAGGTTGGAGGCCATTGCTATTAGGTTGGAGGCCATC